TTGGAGAGGCAATAAGCATTGTGGGGGGGGGGGAGCACAGTTATAGGATCAAATCCCAGTGCCTCCCGCAGTAGTCTGCTTAGTCTCCCTCTCCCAAGGCTTCCTGGGTTGTGACACGGTGACAATGAGCCACCTAGATAGGGCCCAAGCCCTGCGAGAGGAAACACGGGGAAGTGAGAAGAAAGGCCACACCCTGTCTGGCAGTCAGGGAATGCCTTGGGCAGAGATGAGACGCTAATGTCAACTAAGGAGGTCTCCCATACTCGGGGAAATCAAATCCTGGAGCAGGGCAGAAGAGGGTTGTGGGGTGAGTGCTGGGGTGACTCTAAATAACAAGGCAAGAACACTAAAGGCAAACCCCAAGCACCCAGCCTCTGCATAATTCTATTTGTTATTGTTGTTGTTGTTGTTGTTTTGCTAAATTGAGGTACCCAGAAGATGGCACTCGACCTTGCGCCCACCCAATAATTCACTTTGAGAGGCAGAAACAGATGGAGATGAAGTGGCAATTAACTGAAACAGAGTGGCAGATTTTTTTTTTTTTAAAGACAGACAATAATTTCCATACAGTTCTTTGTGAAAAGAAAGGACATCATTGACAACTCGGACCCATCAACTCTCGCTCTCACAGACAGAGACCATAGCAGGCCCCAAGGCTGTCTAACTGTAAGACTCTTGGCGTGTCAACTGTGACCTCTGACATTAAACCCAAGAGTCAGCTCCTAATTACTGTTTTCTAACATCAAACCCTTACCAGCTAGTTCTTCTAGCTCTACGGGTAAAACCCATCTAGATATGAACCACGTGGGGGCTTTGCCTCTGGAGTCAAGGTCTTCTTGCATGGCTGAAAAAATGTCTTTACTATTCACTAAAGAATCCATAAGTTTCAATGGTAGCAAAGCAAGTTAAACACTTAGCCAGGGGAGGCTTTATCCCTACATGGGCAAGGCATCACGGAATTAAATCATATTACACACGAGCTTTAGCCATCCCAATCACTACATTTAGTCAAGTGAAAGTCTTAATTAAAAGCTTTCTCATCGTCTTCATGAAAATATCTACACGGGACACCAGGAATCTTTTAGAAAAGAATGAAAACAGAAGTTGCCCCCCAAAAGGACAATGACCCCTGCTTTTGATGCCTCCTCCTAGAAGGGCTGATGGTGTCCCCACAAACTTAGTAAGGCACAAACAAAACAAACAAACAAACAAAAGACAAAAACCCAGTGTCTGACATCCTCCATAAGGGAAAGACTTCTTTACAGCAAGAGCACTGATCACGTACAATAGACCAATCAGGTTTTCCTAAAATTCAGTATCTGCAATTGAAGCCTGGATAAGTAATTACCCTCACTGGAATGTACGGGGAGCCATCAATCCCTATTCATCCAGCCACACTTAGTGAGCCAAGAGCTTTGCGAGGCTTGAAGATATAAAAATGAACACAGCACAGCGGCCTTACTCCCAGCTAGAAGAATACACCTAAACAAAGAGCTATGCGGGATGTGTTAAGTGCTGTGATGCAGGCACTCACAAAGGGCTGGGGCCAACGGAAAGAGCCGTAAATTCTCTCTGGGAAATGAAGCAAGGGAGGGGACGCAGCTAAGGAGGGCTGAGATATTCCCTCATATAAGCTAGAGGGTTTTCTTTACTATGTTCTAAAAAGGAAGGTAGTAGTTCTGAGACTTATACACTACTGTTATTCCAGAAGATATATTGGTCCACTAGCAGTTCCATTAACATTGGACACACACTGCCATTGACAACGTTCTGAGACCGTGAAAACTTTTTGGTGGGTAATCATTGCGTTCCCGGACCAATCACACCGTAGGGGACGGTATGAATCCCTGGCACGAACTCTGATCTCAAGTTCAAAGATGTTTGGAAACAAACAAATAAACAACTAACTGTGGAGACGTCATATGTAATATTCATGCTTCCCCTTAACATAAAAAAGGGGGGAGCCACCTGATTATATCATGGCTCACATTTGTCTTTATGTCTGTGTTTCAAAAAGGGGGGGAGGGGATGCTGAATGGACTTCTACTTAACCATCATTCATTATGCATACCATATCCCTACTTATAGCATAGTTGTGACAAAACTTCCATTGTTCCTTGCACACCAGCCCCAAACTTGAGTCATTCTAATGTAAGCATGAGAAACTCCCAGCTCCTTTGGGGTGAGTTTCCAGATTCCTCTGTGTTAAATTGAGGTCTAATTTTCCCTGTGCCTGGTTTGCACAAGAAGGTCCATTGCGCCCCGTGTGCCCCCTTCCAGCTGTCAATAAACAGAGGCAGTGAATTCCCTACAGCTTTGCAAAGCTAGTTAGGCAGGGCCATTCATTCCTTCAGGAAAACAGGGCATTGATTTCAACTAGTTCCCAGGGAGCAGCCGCAACAAAGACATCAAAGGCCCACCTCTCTCTCCCTCCAAAGCTTTCATTAGGCCTAGCCCAGACAAACTGCCACAGGTCTCCTTGAGACCAGGAGAGGGCCCGACAGACCACCTCATGGTTCAATTCAAATTCATCCGTTTCCTACATTCCAGTGACAGTCCAGAATGCTAAACCATGACAAACCGACACAATCGTCCGGCATAATATACTGCTCACTAGTTCATCCAAGGTCAGAGGGAGAAACTCACTGAGGGGAATTCCTAGGTTTCTGGAGCCTGCTGAGCCTCAATGGCCCTCTGACATCCCATAAATAAGCTTCTCTGTCTCACTCTTCCTTTCTTCCTCCACCCTGTATCTTCACGGAGTGATGATCTCACTTAACGGTCGGTCGGAAATTTCTTTCACGCCACTGGACCCAAACTCTCTGGAAACTTTATTCCCAACCTAACAGTTGTAAAGGTACAGTAGGTAGCCCCATGTGCAACCCTTATCAATCTATTCCTGCCTTGCAGCAAACCTGTTACACCCAGCAAGCTCCTATTTGCTTCAACTGAAAACTACTTCCTCATTTCTAGGCTTTTCCAAAAAGCCTGATCCCCAGGGAAGGCCACATGAGCTCAAGAGGAGCATGGTTTGCAAAACATAAGTGGGAACAGAATGAAACAGTTACTTTTTTTTTTTTTAAATCCAGGGAATCACCCAGGTTGGGGTAAGCAGGTCCTAAATAGCAGTGTGTGAAAAAGTTTTTGTGCATTTGTGGGAGTGAAGAGGACTAGCCAGGGGCAGGGTGAACCAGAGGGAGTCTAAAAGAAAATGTGTTTTCCCAAGAGGGGTTACCGCTTTTGAACAAACATAATTAAAAGGGTTTCTAAATTTGCCCTTGAATTCAGAACTGCCCGTTTGATGCAGCCCTCACAAAAATGTGTAATGAAATGTGTTCATTTTCATGTGGTTCCCTCCATGTCTGTCACTCATGCCGAGTAAACACGAGGAGAGATGGGTTACCTTTCAAAATTCCTAAACTGAAAAGAAAATAAACAATGTTGGAACGAAAGGTATGGAGAACCCACTTCCTGACGCGGACCACACCCTTCCTGCGTGCCCAGTTCCAAGCTTCAGTACTGTCCTGGGGCTCACCACAGATTTCCTGAGCCCTCGATTCCCTGTTTCCTGTCTCTCTTTACCTACTGAAGAAGTGCCACATAGGATACTGAATAGCGCTCTGTGAAAGGGTTCCACTTATTCTCAAGGTTGGACAAAAATGAGCTATGAAACCCAGAGCAGACCGTCACAGGCCATGCCTAAAATAAGACAGTGACACTCAGACAGTCGGGCTTTGGGCCGTGAGTCCAAGGCCAACCCAGGCTCCATAATGAGACCCTGTCTCAGAAAACTAAAAAGTTGGGAGGAAAGAAAGATGGCTTGTGATGAACACAAGCGACTGCTACGTCAAGAATGTTAAAGCTAAATCTGGCCACTGACTCACTTTAGGTTAAAGGGTTACACTAACGTCTTCCGAGCCTTCAGAAATGGAGACAGAAATATCCGTCAAGAATCTTTTTACAAGGTACTGGGAAATTAGCATGCCTCAAGAACTTGCTTCATTATAGAAAGCTGGTCTTATGAACAGCTTCATTTAATCACAGGTCATTCTGACTCAACAGAGGTTCTCTGGAAACTCATTAAGTTCCTCTAAATCAAATCATTTTTCAAAAGTACTCCTGAAATGTACTACTTAAAGAAAGCCTGTGGCAAAGGTCAAATACACTCATCAATTAATTTGCCTGTCTTTCAGAAGCACTTGCAAAGAACTGAGATATTACAACTCCATCTTCCTCATAACTGACTGCGACATTATGAATCTGGTTTTCAGAGTGAAGAAAATGGGCTCTAGGGAGGTGAAGAGACTTGCCAATGCCATACGGGAACAGGGTAGAGACTTCAAATGTTCAGTTCACACTGCTCCCATGATACCCTATGGATATAATTACCCATGTAAGTCCTCTGTCCCTAACTACATTTAATAAGTAAACAGATTACTACTCTCAACAACACATCCTCATATCCTACTTTCTGGTTTCTGTAATCTGTCTGTCTATCTATCTATCTACCTATCTAAACTATGGGTCTGGGAGACACAGTATACTAAAGCTTGTTTATAATTCCTTATTTCTCATTTAATAATCACCCTTGTGTCATTTTGGACTTTGCTATAGAAGATTCTCACATGGTAAATGAATTTTAAAGATATCAATCAAATTACTGTTGTTGCCTGGGGTGCCTTTACTTTCATTATGTTAGCAATATCTTCTGACAGTTCCTAAATCAATATCTTGACTTTTGTTCTAGAAAGTTCTGTTTCACCTATGTTGGGGATACCAGAAAACAGATATATGTAATACAGTCTCCAAGATTTTTGTCTTAACATGCTTATTCTTTGGGATATTAATTAGCATTATGTGACAAAGAGCACTGTAGTCCTTTAACTTGGGGGAAAAATGTGTCAAACCTATTTCTCGGTGATGAGAGAAGGTAAAATGCTGGGAGGAGGCCTGATTGAAAGGTGGAAGGAAAAGAAGGAATAAAAGAAATATCAACTTACAAAAACCAATGACACCGTGTACGATTCAGGCAGGAACAACCTGAAAGCAAACAAAACGTATGCATGAGTATCACACAACAGTCAGCTGTGCATTCTGAGACCACAGTTGGAGATCCGAGTTCAGTTTTGTAGGACAGTCTTGACCTATGCTACCCCCGCCATCAAGAGTTCATGAAACGACACATGTTGTTACAACTTTGCCCAGTTTTCTGGGAGGTGTACATTGATCTCTGTACAATACTACCACAGGCGCACAATCGCGTCACCGCCAAAGTCAAAACACTGAGCCGGTGCATTGCCACGCGGCATTTTCACAGTCAAAGCTATAACTACCATCATTAAATTGACGTCTGTTTTTAACAATAAACATCCATCCATTTACAAGAAAAAAAAAAAATAAAGACATCATCCATACTCAAGAGACTACTACCAAATAGTATACCAAACTGTGATTAAAGAATTCTGTTTTTATGCATTGGAATACGTTTTAATTCAGAAAACAAATTTTCTTTCTTCTCATTGCTACCACGGGATAAACCACTTATTTCAAGCATGTCTACAATGAAAGTAGACATTCTTTAAATTCTCATTCCACATTTTCAACATATCTGTAACAAGGGATCTTTTACATATTATTACTTCATTTTATATATATATATACATATGCATATACATATATATATATACCAATATATATATATATATACCAATATATATATATATATATATATATACCAATATATATATACCACTATCACCCCTGTGTGACTCAGGAGGAAACCAAGACACTGAGAGGCTGAAAAAGTTTTATGTGGCTATACTAGCAGTGTTTGGGACCAGATAGCTGACATCTGGACTCAACTATCCCTCAAGAGAATCAATATTAATAACATTAAGATATGTTGTGTTGTCACCACAAAACCCCCAATTATTACTAGACTTCACCTTAACATAGAGAAATTGAATAGGAAAAATGCTCCCAAACAATGGCATGAGCTTTTTGTTCTTTTGTGAGACCAACACATGTTATATAACCCAAACTGGCCTGGAATTCTCAATTCTGTTGTTCAGCCTCCCAAGTGTGTATACCACATTATCCCAAACAGTAATTTACAAAATGAAAATGGTTCTTTATTCAAACACAAAATGATAGAAAATGGTCAAAACCAAACAAAAAGCAAAGAACAGAGCACAAAGGAAGACCCCTATTAGAACAACGAACTGTTCAGCAGCCCTTGAATTGCTACCCTGGTGATGTCAGGCAGTTGCATACATATAGCCATGCTGACCTCTGAAAAAGCTCATTCAACTAGCAAAGGTGATGATGAGGAGCGAAATTTTCAGTCCCAGATAAAAAGCTTGAAAATTAGGCTCTTTAGCCAATAGACACATCAAAAAGCCTAAAGGTAACATCCAGATAATGATAATAATTCAGCAGAATACCGATCAGGACAGAATTTCTGTAGGTTTATTAGCTTAATGACACAGCATTATTACTGAAGATTAGCAGCTATTTTCTCGTGCAAAACCAAACAACACATTTATGCATAGCTGTGGCAAATTGGCCAATTCCACAATACTTAAGAGGCACCTATCCAATAAGCCACTGATGTTCTGTCCCAGATACTCGGGCTATGCTTTGTTTACAAATGTCTCCTTAATGGTGTAGGGTCAGGAGGTGGCCAAGGGAGGCGAACTCATTACTAGCATTGGTTGCTGTGCATATAAGTTATACATAAAAAACAAGGGAGTGTGGGGAGTTTTACTTCCAAAGGAGACAACAGAGTCTCCTTCCTCATTTTAAGAGATGGAGACCACTCTACCTCAGCAGCTTTAAAATGCTTATGTTTTATTCCACTTATAGAAGCTAACTAATAATGTTAATGTATTTAAACTAAACTTTATAGTACCTCTCAGTTACCCAAACATGCTTTCTTCACGGCGGGAACAGTAGCATGTACTGAAAACTCTAACTCTGTCCACTTGCACTCACAAAGACTCCCCGTACTATACTCGTTTCAATCATTTCTTCTCTTCCAGCTGCCCTTCCTACTCCCTATGCATGTACACATGTCCATCAGCATCCTTGCCTCGTGGCTCACTGAGAAAGCAACATCTCATCCTTCTGACTTCACACACACACACAGCATCTTCCTAGAACAAAAAAAGCAATACCGTGCTTCTACACCTGAAGTCTTTCTACCATGACACATGTCCCCACCATACAACATGCTCTGATGTGTCCCAACTTTAAAAACAGACATTCCAGATGTCACTCGACTTCCATCTTTTCTCAAAGAAACATCTAGAAAATCCTCATCACCTTGCTTCCTACTCACTTCCTAACCTTCAAGGATCCTTATTAATGCCATCAAGGGATTCTTTCCTCATTCTAAAAATTGGGAGATTGACACTGAAGAGAGAGCATGAAGCTTGGAATGAAAATACCTTTCCTTGGAGCTACTTGGGAAGCCAGGGCTGACCCAAAACTCTCTTTCTGGGTATCAGATTAGGGATATCCCCACACCTCCTTCCTCTCTTGTATCATCCTCCCAGCAGAAAAAAAAAAAATCACAGGCTGATCCCTCAGAATATCACTTTTTATTATTTTTTATTTGAGAAAGGACCTTGCTTTACTTCTATTTCTGTGCTAGCTTATTTGTTTACATTAATTTTCTTGACAACCCGAGGGATAGGTGATTCTATCTCCTTGATGAAATTCAACCACAGCTGAAGGGGAATAAAAAATCTTTCCCTGTATCGCATTCCTAGAGCAAGCCCTTGACCTTGGTCGCCTGCATTCCTGACCATAGACTCCTGGAGCTTTGTAATGGCTGCTTTCTCTTAGCTGTTCCCATTAGATAGTGACCTGATAAGAGAGTCACTCTGAGCTATATGACCCAGGCCTATTATGTCCACGAGATAAGATAATTTAGAGTTGATGTAAATTCATTACTATGCCTCAGAAACTGATTTATTTATCTATTGGGGGCACTGTGAGAATTTGCATTGTCAAGATAAGATCCTCAACTGAGGTGATCAATGTACTCACTTCCCCTAGCTCCAACTCAGAGCTGACTTTGCATTATGGAGCTCGGGATTGGCCTATAGGTCAGCCCACATCCTTCACTGGCTGTGCAAGCATCCACGTTTCCTTCTGGTCCTTCCCCAGCTGGACAATCTATGAGACAGGAACATGCAACTAGTTCTAGGCTATGAATAACCAGGCTAACAGCTGGTAAAAGAGTTAGTCAGCATCAACTATCCTTTCTCCCTGCCTTGTAACCAAGAAGACTAAGTGTTCAAAGAAGTATACAACTATAAGATGGTGGTATGTTAGCAGACTTGGGTCTCATTGCATGGAACAAATCCACAGTGGACATTTGTATGAGCAATAATAATAACTTTTGAGTAAAGTCACTGATGATTGTGGATAACTTGTTACCACGGCATGACTTTAAGCCATCCTGATTTTATAGAACCTGGTCCCAGAAGTAGGTTTCTGCTTTAGCAAAGCCCACTACATACATAATCTTGATTTAGTGGTCATAAGGCAATGAGACAACCGACCTCAAGAGGCAGAATATTAGTGGTAAGACATGGGGTAGAGCCGTTGCCTCTAACAGGGTAGGGAGGACATAGATCTCCTTGCCTAAAGACCCTTTTTGTGGCTCTGAGAGAAAACAAAGCATTGAAAGTCTGTATCTGTTATCGCTACATTGTCCTCAAAATGGATTCTAAGAAAATTGAGTTCAGAAAGAAACTGGCCAGTTTCAAAGAAGGAACAGGAGCCAGGCATGGAGGTTGAGGGCCAGCCTTCACTACATGGTGAGACCTGGTTACTAGAGGAAGACTGTGAGTGAGGGGTGTAAGTTCAGGAAAACGTTGCTGATTTAAGTTGCCTCAAGGATACATGACAGCAAATGGACTGAATAAATACAAGGCTTTCTAAGAGACGCCAGGGAGTCCCAGACTGCTTCGCCAAAGTGTAAGAAGAGCCACAGAAATGAGACAGTAAAGCTATGGCATTTGTCTGAGGACTACATTTCAAAAGGGGGGAAAAAAAACCATCAAGGGTGTGTTTATTAGCATACAGGCCTGCCTGAAAATACGATGCATAAATAAGTGCATAAGAACCTTCCAAGTTTGCAAGGCTATTGTGCTTCGAAAGACAAAAGCCTCTCAGTGGAAGTGTTAAAATGACCCTTTGGCTGGCCCTCACACTTCCACTTGTAGGAAGTGAGGAAAAAAAAAATTGGTTAGTCCCCAAGTAAGGCGATTTCTCTAACCCTCACCTCCAATGTGACTAAGGACAGGAAGATGTTAAAAACAATGACCAGACAGACTTACAGCCCAGGAAGAAACATTGTGCTTCCTTTGGAGTATCCAGTTCCAAACTTGCTACAGGTCAATCAATGACTCTTTAAGTATAAACTTAGAATAAAAAAAAAAAAAACCAACATCAAAGACTAGGTTTGGACCTGTATCATTTTAATGATCCCAAAGAGATGTCAGGAGTGCCTAATTTTCCTGTATATCACAGATTTCAAAATCTCACATTGAACGGCATGTTCCTATGTTCTATACGGCATCCTCTGGGGCTACAAGCATCTTCCGTGGGCTTTTAAAAAGCAATTCTCTAGATTGCAGCTTGAAACATTTCTTTTAGAGTACAACAAGGTATTACACTAAAAGCATATGATGCAGGCATACTGTACAGAAGGCCAGCCAAATGAACAGCTCTGCCTCATACAAGCTATCAAAACCCTCAACCAGGAGCCAAAGTAATGGGTTGTAAAAATAACTGACATTATGCCTGGGAGATCCATGACAGGGGCTGAGAGACTGCATCATAAAGGCGAAAGCAGCTAATCTCCTCTTCAACATTTTACTGGATGACACAGGTACAGACAGAATGAGTCCCTGAGACCCTCATAGCCCTTTGTCAAAGGGCAACCCCAGGTGAGAACACATCTAGAGACCTTACTGGTCCAGACATAATTAAGGTTAGATGAGGCCAGAAGGGCAGGGCCCTACTCC